AAAAAAAAAAAAAAAAGACTGTCACATTGATTGCATCTGAAAGGTGCGCAGCGAATTCTCTCCAGCGTGAATTTTCCGATGTCGTGCAAGGTGTGGATTTTGATTGAACACCTTGCCACATGTATTACATTTGTAAGGTCTCTCTCCAGTATGAATTCTCTGATGGTTGGTTAGGTATAATTTGCGCCCAAAGACCTTGTTGCATTCATTACATTTGTAAGGTTTCTCTCCAGTATGGATGAGAAGATGGGCCATAAGGCCTGAACGCTTGCGAAATGCTCTTCCACATTCATTACACTTATAGGGCTTCTCTGTACTATGAATTATTTGATGCCGTGCAAGGTATGAAAGCAGACTAAAGACCTTGCCGCATTCGTTACATTTATAAGGTTTTTCTGCAGTGTGACTTCTCTGATGGTTGGTGAGAGAAAATTTGTGCCTAAAGTTCTTGCCACACTCATTACACTTATAAGGTTTCTCTCCAGTATGGATTACAAGATGGGTAGTAAGTCCTGAACACTCTCTAAATGCTTTGCCACATTCGTTACATTTGTGAGGCTTCTCTCCAGTATGAATTCTTTGATGTCGAGCAAGATTTGAATTGCGATTAAACACTTTGTCACATTCACTACATTTGTAAGGCTTCTGTCCAGTATGAATTCTCCAATGTTCTACAAGGTGTGAATTGCGACTAAAGACCTTGCCACATTGAGTACATTTGTAAGGTTTATCTGCAGTATGGATTACTTGATGGTTAGTAAGGCTTGCAGACACTCTAAAAACTTTGCCATCTTCACATTCATAAGATTTTCCTCTAATGTATACTTTGTCTTCTTGTGGGAGTAATGGTAAATCAATAAAATCGTTTCTGTATTTATTAAAAATGTGTGTTGTGAAACTAGAAGAAATTTTTTGAAGTGGTGAAACTGAGGAACTATGGTTTGTAAACTTTTCACCTTGATTACTTCCATAGATTTTCCTTGCAGCTTGAAACAGCTGCAATTCAGACAGATGGGACTCAAGGGTTAATCCAAGTTGATTTTTAATACGCTTGTTTCCTGCATTGCTTCTTAATATACAGCTCCTCCCTAGAAAAGCAAGGAAGAGTAAAACATGAACCCATGATTCTGGCATGTTTACAGTCTGGTAGAGGGACTAGAATCTGTCTCACCCAACTGAGACACTAGAAGTATCGGTATACGTTGTGTGTCACATTGTGAGAGCTGAAAACACAAGGGGGTGACGTGATGCACTGGAGAAGTGGGGAATCTGTGGGACTCGGAAGGATTACGGGTGACTTTGAGAAAGATAAAGGGCAGAGACATAGAACAGAAACTCAAAGCTTCTCAGAAAAGGCAGGGATGAGCCCCTTAGAGAAAATAAGACATTTAAGAGCAGTTGTATGGACATTAGTAGTAGCATAATATATGCATAAAGCTAGGAAAGACACATCCCCAGAAAAGGACTGAGGTGTCCCCACACTCTCTACAACAGGCTACTTGGGAAAGGTTTCCCTGTGCACAATTCTTATATAAAAGAACTGAAAGAAGTAGTTTAGTTTTACCAAACCTAAAAAAAGAGGTACAAGGCCTATAAAAAGATGGGGAAATATGGCTAAAAGGGCAAAATAGTAATAAATAAATGTATACATCTTCAGAAACCAAACCTAAAAACATGTAATCTTGTGAATTACTTGAAGGATACTTAAAGCAAATGCTTTAAAATGTTTAATGAGGCTGGGTGTGGTGGCTCATGTCTGTATCTCAGTATTTTGGGAGACCGAGGCAGGAGGACTGTGTGAGTGCAGTTCAGGAGCAGCCTGGGTAACACAGCAAGACCTCATCTCTACTAAAAGTCAAAAAATCCAGCTGGGCATTTGGGCATGTGCCTGTAATCCCAGTTGCTAAGGAACAGACAAGTAAGTGAATTCAGGAAAACAACACATAATAATATGGAGAATAGCAAGCAAAAGAAAAACTATATTTTCTTTTTCTTCTTTTTTTTTTTTT